GGACTTTCAATTATATTTTGTGTACAGTTAGCCGTCTACGAAAAATCTATCATAATGATAGATTTTCTATAGATGGCTAACTGCACACAAAATATAATTTGAAAGTCCGATGACAGGTTTTCCCTTGGCAGCACTCATATAGAGGTAATATTGAGGTGTGAGCAATGCCATAATTGGTTATAATAATAATGGATTACAGCATTTTTTTGCCGTAATTCATTATTATAATATGAAAGGATGAAATCCGCAAAAAAAAGATAACACTATCTAGAGGCGTGAGCGCAATACCGTAATTGGTCGTAATTATGCGTAACAGGTAATGAATTACGGTATTTTTTGCCGTAATCCATTATAATATGAAAGGGTGAAATCTGCGCAGAGGTGATAACTTTAATTAGATTTAGTTACTATTTTAGGTGGGATATGCATCCATAATGTAACTACGTATTTCTGCACGGGCTTCACCCTGTTTGAATTATAATTACAACCAATTACGGCAACCTCTAATGAATCGATTACATATGCCTGGTATCATAGTAAGATAAAATTTTAATATGTGCACCTTTTATTAAACGTCTTGTGTTTATATAATTAAAAAAATGGTAGATTTTCCTATAATCTTTAATACTGTATGTATATATCAAATTTTACTATATAAGAATTGATTAACAGTTAATAATAATCGTTATCGTTATCATTGTACGTACTGTACGTACGTACCATCTGCACTATGTTTGTAATTAGATTTACGTATGTACGTGTTACTCCCAATCTTTCATGGCTCTGCCAAGATTACACCATAACACAAAAATGCGAACTTTTTTAGTCACCACCCTAAAATATTACGTAAAACAAATGTAAATCATTCCCAAATATTTAATGATTTTTATCCATGCATTCGTTATAAATATCGACAAATATCGACATTGTGTAAAAAAAAAAAAATTTTTTTTGTTCACACAATGGATCCTTTCATAATTTCAAGTTCTATACCAGATGTAGCATTCATTTCTTCACCTGAAACTATTCTTGATGTAAGGTCATCATCAAATACTAGTTTACCTATAAGATCTCAAACACCTATTTCTGAACATCCGATACCTGTAGCACAATCAAGTGCAGTTCATGGATCAGAATCAACATTATCACTTCGAGCATCAGCATGCCCAGTAAATACGGAACCACCTCCATATGTTGCAGATTATTATACAGCACGAGATCCTCTATCTTTAGGACCAAAACGAAAATCAGAAGATGAGATAAAAAAGAGTAGTAAAAAAATTCAAGCATTTTATCGTGATCAAAATGAACTTATTGATGAATTGTTAAGTCCGATTGATAATAAGCAACCGATTGAAGAATTGAAAAATAACTTGTTAAGAGTAATTATTAACATTATATTATTATATTATTATTAACATTATATTATTCTATATACTTTATTTAAAAATTCTCGATTTTATCATAAAGTTAAAAATCGCTGTCAACGGTTCTATGGCCGTTAATATTATATTATTCGCGCTTCAACTATATGCAGCAATCAGTACTGGATCTATTTCTCTCTTTGCGACAATGTCGGATTCTTTTATGGATTTATTATCAACAGCTATATTATTATTCGCCGGAAAAGCAGCTAATGTGAAAAACATTTTACAATATCCAACCGTAATATGAATATATATTTTTAAATTAATAAGTGGTGTGGAATTTTTTTAAATGGATTATGTTGGTTGAATGGAATTTAAGTGGATTGGAATTACTTTTTAGGATTTTAAAGTTAAATGTGTAGATTTATATAAAATAAATTCTACTCTAAGAATCTACTCTAAGAATTATAATTTTATTAGAAATTCCAAATCCACTTGACGTCAAAATTCCACTCAACAATTATCAATTATATCGAATATACATTTAATATCTTCCGTATTATATGCATACGCACGAAATTCAGGTCTTTTGCAATATAGGTGATCACTTTTAATAAAAATTTATTATTAATTAATGAATATAAATTGGAGTCGCCTATACTGTAGGAGATATTGATTAATTATTGATCGATTCCTATTTCATATAAAATACGGAATTTATAGATTTACAGTGAATTTTTATATTCCGTATTTATATTCCTGTATGTAAAATGTAATACGGCAATCATGATATTGTAAATATTTAACATAACGATAAATTCATTTAAATCTATTAAAATTCAGCATCACTTTTCTATAAAACTTTTTAAATCTAAATATATTGCACGTACGTATAGGGTAAATCACGTGTAGAAACAGCCGGAATTATAGTATTTTCATCATTGATGACAACCGTATCAATTCAACTCATTGTAAGTTTATTTAAATACCTGTTGATTATTAAATTTATGAAATGCATGATTATCTAACTTTAATAATCGTATAATATATTATTGACTAACTTTAATAATCATTCTATATATCACAGGTAGAAGCAATCAAATCACTTGTTATGAAAGAGGAACGTAAACAAGTTAATTTGGTTCCTATACTATTTGTCGCTATTGGCTTAGGTATATCTAATGATTCAATTATACAATTATAGCCGAAAGTATTGCATCATACATTAAAATTTAGTTATTTTTATTTTTTATTTTTTTTTTACAATAAACGTATAAAAAATTTCACATTATATCTGATATGAGGGTTTATACTTTACGAATATAATGAGATAAAAATTTTCGTATTGGGAAAACCTTCATATAATATATTCAATTATGAAATTATTTATGTTTATTATAAAAAAAAAACTATAAACGATGCGTCACTAAATTTATAAATTTTAACATCAAACCTATATATATATATATATATATATTTAATCTATTTTAATCTATATATATATATATAATCTATTTTAGCTGCCAAGACCGTGCTTTCAATTTATTGTTGGACACAACGTAAATTTCAAACGGCTCGCATTCTCGCACAAGATCACCGAAATGATTTGGTTATCAATTCTTTTGGCTTGGTTATGGCATTGTTAGGAACAAATCTTTTGTGGTGGATAGATCCTGCTGGTGCTATAATTATAGCATTATTTATTCTTTGGAGCTGGACGAATACTGCTTATGGTAATGCAAAATAATCATATAATATAATAATATATATAACGATAATAATGATATAATAATGAATATATACGTATACATGTTGTAAGTGGGAACGGGATTTAAGAAGTTGATTTGGAATTTCATAATCCCGTTCTCATTTATAAATATAAATATAATATATATTTATTTATTAACATATAATATCTACATATTTACATATTTAATCCAGAACAAATCAAACTGATTGTTGGTAAAAGTGCAGATCCTGGATTCTTACAACGTGCCACGTATATTGGTATGTTTCTAAGCCACAAACTATATCTATTTTCCCACAAACTATTGTCGAAACAAATTTGGTTAAAGAAATTTTTATGAAAATTGGTTTATTATAGCATTAACACATCATCCGAAAGTTCTTCAAGTTGATACTTGCCGAGCTTATCATGCAGGAGCTAACCTTTTTGTGGAAGTAGATATTGTTATGGATCGAGAAACACCTCTTTGGGAAAGTCATGACATTGGTGAAAGTCTTCAAATTAAATTAGAAAAATTGGCAAATGTAGAAAGAGCTTTTGTACATGTTGATTATGAGACAAGTCATAAACCTGAACATCAAAAGGAAGAATAAATAAATACAAGTTGATTTTTACTATTGTTTTATTATCGTTATATGTAAATAAACGTATATCTTAGTATATATGTATATTATATTTCACTAAATATATATATATATATATATATATATTTGATATATATTTGGAATTCTAACTTTAATTTTTACAAACTCTATATAGTTTGTTATCATCGTTGTTTTTTGTAGAGGTTATTTTCTAAACTTAAATATAGCTTACTAGTTTTCTAAACCTTAAATATAACTATATAGTTTCGCTAACGGAAATTACAAGACTAGTAACAGAAATATGTCTAATATTGTTCTCTGTGTTGATAATTATTCATATCGTTTAACTCTAGTCTTCTAACCAAGTGATCTGATTTCTCTAAGATAATGAATTCACAGTGCAATATTTCTTTAAACAATCATACAAATATAAATACAAATACAAATTGACTATTTAGACTTTTTTCCTTCTTATGAAGCATGAAATATATAAAATATACAGTATATATATACATATACATATATATATATATATATATAGTAACAAATGCTTATAAGAAAACAGACATTGTCCAAAAGAAAATTTATATATGCACTTTTTTTTCAATAGACAGTACAAATAGACAATGCATGAGTAACAAAAGAAGCTTTTTTTTTTGGTTATGTTTTCATCCTATATGGAACATAACCATCAGATCTTGATTCAGCTGGTTCTACAGCCCGCAATTTTTCATCGGATCTTCGTTCACGTTCACGTCTGCGTTTCTTAAGCCAAACATCACGTCGAGATATATGGAGATCTTTAATACATCGAAATATCATTGCATTTGGGGCGATGATATCTTTATCTTTCAGATATTGACGGAATCTAGGAAAATGCATATTAACTACATATGGTTTTATTTCAGTCCATGTATATTCACCACTTTTAAATTTCTTTGATGGTTTCTCTTCAATGTAAGAAAGTAATTGATTCTAAATTTATTTAATTTATATAAATTAATTAATTAATGAATTAATATAATTGAAGGATTGTAAATCAAAAAAAAAATATATATATACAATTATATATTTTATAATTTTCTTACTTTTACAAGTTTAAGCAAAGTTTGATCAGCTTTTTTTTCATCAAATTCATCCTCAGAAAAAACGTCAGCATCCTCATCACGTTTATAAGAATTCTTAGACTTAACCGCTAATTGACGTCTTTTCTTATCATCAATTGTTGATTTAGAAGAAGAGGAGGGTTTACTTTCACGATTAATCGATTGAGGTTGACGATCGTTAACGCTTGAATTTATTTTACATGGAGACTGAGAAGTTTGATTGGTAAATGGATGAGGCCTATGTGTATGTTCTACCCGATGAGTAGATTTTTGAACGTGAGTAGTGTGATTTCCCCATACAGTTTCATGTTTAATCATTATCGGATTTCCTTTTATTTCTTGAAAACTTCTAGGTACAGGGTTATGCTTTACAGATATGCTAGTGGAAGTAACACGCGTTGATGGTGGAGGTTCTTCCAAAGGTGGTTCTGTTTAAAAAATATCGAAAATCTTTTTCATTCATTCATTTGAAAAATTATTTTTATGAACGCGAAACGCATACACGCATATCACACATGTAATGCATAGAATATCGACTGCAAATACTAGTAATTAATCAAGAAAACCATCTTTTGACTAACGAAAATTTACTATAATCATGACTTTACAAAATAAAAATAAAATATATATATATAAATGAAATAAAAAATAAAATTTACTTGATATTTTTCTGAAAGGACCAAAAGATTGGGTTCCATTAAGCCTGATCACAACTTTCTGACCATCATCAGAGGTAGAGAGTCTAGAAAAACAATTACTTTCTTTCTCCATTACTAACGAACAAAGTTTTTTTAAATATCACCGAGTACAATAATTTTTAAAAAATTGAATTCTTCGGATACGGGTTCTATTTATACAAATTTGAGTTGTTTACCACCGAATTTATCAATTCATTATTCCGGGAATTCACCCCCAGTATAGCATTGCCGATTATTACTACAAATGGACAAATGGATTAATCATCTTTTGAAACACAAAGATTCTTGACGTAGTACATACATACGTATACGTATACGTAACGTACATACATGTCGATATGTTTTGATATTTGATACGTACATACTGATACGTGCAATTACTATAACTGTAATATAAAGATACATATGTCGTTATGATGTAAAATTAATTTGACATAATAGTCGGAGTATGTTTTAGGGTATTGTTAATAAAGGTAATAAAGGTAATAAAGGAATATAGTCGCCCCTTTCTATACAGAACTCACTCAGTGATGGATGGGACTACGGGGTGATACTTAATTGTCACATTTAATAATTTATTAAGAATCAAATTTATTTAATAGATCACGTCGTATGACATTTTACATTTTAGCACCTCTAGTTCCATCACTAAACGTTGTAGTATGAGTTCGTTATATTATTATATAATGAATTTTCTTTCTTTAATTTTTATCATATGATCAAGCAATAGCATCTATTTCCTGCTTCAATTTCGATTACGATATTTGTAAGGATTTAAAAATTGTGTAGCAAGTATATAGTAATGTTTCTTTAATAAATAAAATAAGTTAATAAATTAATATCACATCGAAACAATTAGAAGATGAGGTATATTATTAAATATATAAAAAATAATAAATTTGGATTTTACATTGAGGTACGTATCGGTGTGTATTGGTATTCGGTCAACTATGTAAGTCAAAAATATGTGATTACTACGTATATATATTATAGTTAACCTATTTTTTTTATAAGTTAATAATAAATGTTTTCAGATATAAGAAATGAAAAATATTACTTTTTTTCAAATAATCTTAGTATATAATTCTTGAACATATTTATAACAAAATAATTTATGTTTAAAAACATAAAAATTTTTAACGTAACTTTGTTTGTAGTATATGTTTAAGAGTGGTTTCTTGGCTACGTAAAACATTTGAAAAAATAATAAAATTCATTTGCTATATCTGTAAAATGGTTTAAATAATATATAGTAATTAGTTAAGCAAAAAAGCTTTAATTGATACCACTCATAGTTTGGATTTACATGGTCAATCGAATTCAATATATCCAATTGCTTCTGAAAAGACCTCGCATTAATGAATCTCTGAAACCTCATTACAATTTCAATTAATTGTCTTTGTACGTACGTACGTACATATCAGAAATTCTTACAGGCTAGTACAGTACATCAGAAATTCTTACAGACTAGGGGGTCGTCTAAAGCCGTGTCAATCACGTGACCTAAAGCCAATAGAATTGTTTATTTTGATCGACACGGATCAGCCCGAAGAGACAAAAAACAGCGAAAAAAAGTGAAAATCGCAAAAAATACAAGAAACGATAGTCTAAACCCATCTTGGTGCATTAATAAAAAATGCCGGGAAGACAATTTTACTATAAGACATGCCCTGACCCTAACCACAAACTGACCCTTACCCTAACTTTAATTAAAAACAAAAAACACGTGACTGGACACGGCTTTAGACGTCCCCCAGACTAGTACATATATATAATTTTCTACGTACGTACGTACATAGCGATAGTACATTTTTGTCACATTAATTGATACGACTATTTTACATATATGATATCTATTAATTATACGTATATTATAGGTATGAATATGTGTAATAAATTGAAAGCATATTTTACTGTATGACTATTTATAACCTTTTTTTTATAACTTTTGATAAAATCTAGTTTACCATATATACATACCGATACAGTACACACCGTTTTTTTTTTTTTCTAAAGTCACAAAGGTTATATTCGACCATATTCAGGTTTGATTTAAAAAAAGGAAATTTCTTTTAATAAAACGAGTTTTATTATTCAATAATCAAGTTACTTCTAAATTAAGTTCATTCATAATTCCGCTACAACTTGTACATATCAATCCTTTTGGTTAGTTATAGTCAGAATATAAAGACAATCGTATGCAGTATATAAGTCTTTCTGTATCATCCGACTTTAGCAGCAGCATCACACGATTTATACCACATGAGAATCCAGAACGAAATTTTGGCAGAAATGGTATCTTTTATATGTAAACATGTTAGATTTGAAAAGCGCTTATTAGTTCAAAAGGGTTTTATTTAAAGTAGGTACGATACGTACGTATCTAAATTAAATTGATAAATAATATTATATTTTTAAGAAAATTACTACGATTCACAGGCTGTGAAATTCACACCCCCGTTTCAAAAAAAAAGTTTTCTATTTTAACAAACTTTACAGCAAAATTTAGCAAGGAATTTTTTTACTTATAACACCAAAGGCGGTTTCATAAGTAATTTTTTAAAAAAACTCTCATTTTTGTTACACAAAGAAATTTGCAGATCGCGCAATTTTGATCGGCCTGTTAAGATTAGCAATACTCTTTTTTTAAAAATATATATGTATAAAATATTCAAATCTATATGTATATAATGTAAAATTAATTAGATTTAAAAAGAATAACCAAAAATTATCTTTATATATACTGTTATATTGTTTGTAATAGATATTTCATGGACTATTGTGAATATTAAGGCGAACATGAAATATCTGGTACGTATATTCCGCGGTAATTTCACGTTCCTATGTCCGGATGATGGAATATTTTTTGATACTTTCATGGTATTATATCATCAGAAAAATATTCATGGACGAACATTAGGCCATACAAAGTTAATTTTTTGGTTCTCATAACATAAAATTTGAAAAATGACCCGGCAACCCGGCTTTTAATTTT